TTAGTCATTATATTTACCGGTAAGTAATTATTGTACCCATTAATTTTATTAGAATAACGATATAATAAAATTAATTTAAAGTAAATATAAATATCGTTTTCCTTAAATTAGAAGTAAAAATTATTATTATTAGTTCCGATTAATGCTTATCGTTTCCTATTATTATTATTATTTCAAAAAAATTTTTTTAAAAGTTGTTTTCAATTTAAAGTTATTTTCGTGTTTACAATTTTTCGAATATTTTGCTTTAAAATAGGACAGAGTCCAAAGTTGATATTTTCTAGTAATAATATATTTCGTGTATTAAAAGTATTCAATCGAAAAAAGAAACGCAAACGTCCAATAATATGATTCATCTTCTGTTCATGACATGAAAAAGACAAAAACGTAATGAGAAATAATACATTTACAAGGAATGGAAAAAAAAAATTCCTAAGCAAGAAAGAATGGAATGTTTAATTCGGTAGAGGTTTTTAGGCGAGGCAGTCGAAGCTTTTGGCTAAGGTTTGGCGCTTTAAAAATTCCAAACACGCACAAATATACGCTTATCGATACTTGATCCGGTGAGCGAACCCATCTGTGATCCTTGATCTTGCACAGCATCCGAGTGGATAAAATGAGTGATATGCGAGTGGTTCGCACCTGACCACGTGAAGTTTTCTATGTGTATCTAATACCCAAATAGGGACTAATTAGATATAAAGGGCTGTCTCACCGGGAGGACCCACTGAAGTCCACCCGGTGAAGCACCGGGTATCCACCCTTGTCAGATCTCTCCTTGCTACATCCCAATAAACTAAACTTGGTACAGTATCAAGTATGGTCTGATGCGTAGACGTATTCGGGAAAGCGCATGGACAATACACTACGCCCATAGTGTATTCGAGTGCCAAGGTGGGTGGTCACGTTGGCACTTAAATATGCCATCTGCGTAGCGTAGGCATTACATTATATAAAGCAAGTCTGTCTAGGGCCTCATATATATATATATATATAATTTCCGCTGAACTAATTTAAGATCATTTACATAATCAGAACATAAAAGTACGAAATCATTTAATCGTGCCAAATTTTAAACTGCTCCTAACAATAACAGAAAAATAAGAATTTCGGAATGTTTCCAAGATTATTATGCAACAAAAAACAAGTTTAAATTTTAAGAATTATAAATAATAATATGGCTTACAAAAGATTCGATTGAGAATCCAATTTATAAGATTACACACTCCAAATATATTCTTGCATTAAATAATTATTGAGTAGGTTCGATTAATTTTAGTCAAATTAATAATTTATTTTATTACATATTAAAATCATTCGACTTATTCAAAAGTATTTCGCGGCTTTGGTTTCAATAATTATTCCATTGGAGAAATTAAAGTCCAAGGTTAAACTGAAATAACTTAAAGTTAATTAAAGGATTTTTAATTACTTTTCCTTTATTAGAATTATTTAATTTATGGATTAACTTCCTTCTATTTATAAAATTTTTAATAGTTTATAAAATTGGTAAATCTTAACGCTTAATTATAAAAATAAATATTTTTAATAGACATTTTTTGTTACTAATTTTATTAAGTGCCATTAAATGCATTTAATTTTTTCTCTAACTTTATATTTTTACTCTAATTATACAGCAAAATAATTTAATTATATTTAATATTTTAAAACTATAACAATTGTAACAATATTTTTCATCGCAAATCTCTTTTTTTTTGTTTTGTTTTTTTACATTAGTGAGATACAAAGATTAAAAGAAAATTAAATTTTATATACAACAAAATATAGCAAAAATTATTGCATTTACAATTAATTAAACGACAAAACAACGAAATTTTAACAATTTCTTAGTTAATTAATCCCTACGAGATCTTTAATGGTTATAGCAAGGCTTTAACTAATTATAATCATAATTAAGAAAATTTGCATTTTAATTACGATTTTTAGACGAATTTTGTAGGTACTGATCGATTCCATTTTGTTTTTCGTTCTAAATACGGGAGAAAAATGCAAATTATTGGTGATAATTGTATTTGTTTACAGTATGGAGTTTATTAAAATTGATGTTTTCGGTCTTATATCCTGTAATATCTTTATTGAGATAGTTTACGTCACGACATAGGAACGTTGTGTGACCTTTCGGAATTTCCTATCTGACCACTTCACTAAACAGCGCCACCGTCGTGGATCAATATGGGATGCAGCGGACGACGAAATACAGGAGGAACCTGCGCTGTTTCAAGGACGGTAGAAGCATACTATTGGCGGGAAGAACACAGCCTTCTTCCTCCATCGTGCAGTAATATTTACGAATATCTTTTATCAGAATTAAACATTTATTGGATACGAGAATTTGAAAAGTAGTCGTTTATCGAGTGTACAAATTAAGATTTCTATACGGCATTCGATTATAACACGAGATTTTTTTGTTTATACACGTGTTTGGAACATGGATGGAAAACATTTTCCTCGTAGTCAATCTGCAAGTAGTAGAGTACAGTTTCTAACATCTACCGACAATAATCAGGTAAGTGAATATTGGTTTACTTCTGGTGTCCCATCAGCCATTATTGTACTTTTGATACCATCGGGTAGGTCAAGGAGTGGCAATAAATCATAGGATGATTCTATTCTATCCCTCCTCCTAGGATAACTTACTTTTACTAGGGATTTATAAGGCTAATTTTCAATTAAAACAATGTTACTCGGATAAATAACTGATAATTAATCAGAAAATTAACTGTATTTTAACTTTGATGTTATGCTTAGTGAAGGGTAAGTGATAACGTTGTAACTCGCGTATAATCAATTGCCGCATATTGTATCATTTTTTAAAAATAATTTTAAAACGTATAATGTATAATTTGCAAATACAAGTTTAAAAATTTTAGCAAAATATATATTTTTTGAAATATGCAAATTATGTCAACAAACACGGTGCAACCATTTATATAGATGGATCCTTATGGAGAACTGTGTACAAAAATTGCGCAAAGTGATGAAAAATTTAATTGGCAAATTGCCATTCGCAAAATCACGTGATTCGTCTCGTAATCCGAAGTCACGGTTTGGGGATTGATTAGCTTCGAGATAAAAATGAGGGTAGACACATGCACAATTTAATGTAGTTTTATGTAATCATCATCGTCGCTATTAAGCGCCAATTTGGAGAAATGTAATTTTAAATTATGTCGTATAATTTTATGACAAATTTACCCAAAGAGAATATAAATTCATGCATTTACATCAAAAATTATGTTAAGAAAATAAAAGAGCAATAACATTTATGTTAAATGTTTTGCTCTATTTTTATTGCTTAATTTTCATTTGAATGAATATATTTTTCTACAAATGATTCTATAAATAATAATAATAAGAAACAGAAAACATCCAGAAATGTTTATAATGGAGACGATTCTCAGATGCAACGTAAACAAAACAAGCATCAAAAATATTTTTACATGCATTTTTTCTAAAGTTAAATATCCTTAAAATTCTAAAAATGACATTTTGATACATTTACAGTAAATGAAAAATATTTCAATACATAAAACAAAATAAAGTGGCTACTTCTATATTAAATAATAAATTTATACATTTTTATAGCGTTATTTTAAGAATTTAAATGCAAATTAAAGGTCAACAGTTATCCTTATTAATACAATTCTTTAGGAATTGATTAACCACTAATTAACTAGAATAGTGTCTATAAATGCACTTAATTACATTTAAAAATTTTTATTATAATTTTAAAAATCGTTTAACAAGAATTATAGAATTTTTGACATTTTTTTCCTTATAAATATGCAGCAACTCTTAATTAGTAGGAAAAATCTTTAAATATTTTTGAAAAATGACTATTTTTTTATCCAAACGATAACATCTGTGCCCTATCAAAGATGCCTTAACTTCTTATCTTAATAAGTTTAGTAAGTATTCAAATGAAGCTTTTACTAAAGTAGATTATTCTAACTAGTTACAGAATATCCATTTAGCATTGATCGATGAATAAATATACGTAGAATAACCGAAACCTTGTTACTATAGTAACAGCATCCGTATTCTAAAGTTGTGACGCAGTGTACAGTGTGCAATACGTAAACTAAAACGTTGTCTACCCCTTTCGTTGCAGGAAATCAGAAAACGTGATTCGATCTATTAATAACTTCATCAAATAATTTAAAGCACTTGAAAATATATAAAATAATTAATAATCACTACTAAAATTTTAAAAAACATATTAAGCGCTGGAACGTGTAGAAGATAGAGAGAAATTAGTGATTTATTTAAATTCTGTTAAAATTTCGTTTAGTTACATGAAAATGACGAATTAAATTTTATTTTTTAAATTTGCACAATTTATCGTAAATCAATATTGATTGATTGATAAACTAATTAAAATGTTGTAGATGACCAAAAAGTGATATTTGCAGGAAATTAATATGATAGATTGGCTTTAATATATCGATTTTGGCTTATTTTACTTGTTATTTTTTATTATAATTAATTTTAAAGCAGAGATTTTATTTATTAAATATTATTCTGTTTGTCGTGTGGTGTTAGTGTNGTTAAATAAATAATGAATACGAAATAAAATCCAAAAATATAAATTTATATGATTTTTTTTATTAAATATTGGAAATGTTTGGTTAAAAATCCAAGTAGTTTAAGAATAATTAATAACTTTCGAAGTATGGAAATTACTATTAATATATAAATATAAATTTATGGTTTAAAATGCTTATTTATTATATTTCCAAAATGTTTTATATTAGGTTTTCTTTTAGGCTTTATGTAAAAGAACCACAAGATACTCTTTTTCGAAACTCATTCCACCTTTTGGGTACGTACCCATTTATGTTCGGCCAGATCCACAATGGGATCTCCAATGGGACGAGTGGTGAGAGTCGGGGGGGGGCAAAATTGCAAGTATGGAAACGTGGTTTGTGCCTCCCAGACGACCAGAAATGTAAAAAAAAACTACATCCCTAATTGTGACTCTAGCGAGATGTTCTCCTGCCCAACGGGATGCTTGTTAAACATGCCATAGGCTTAAAGGAGCGTGCAGCATGACTCCGATCGAGCCCCGGAAGTAGTGGGTGCGATGGTGTTTCTGATGTTTTATGAGCTTTAAGCTGTCTCTAGTAAAATGGAAAAGAGTTGATTGTTAGTATTGTTTTGATTTTTTACTTTTGGATTTATAGAAAAGTCAATTATAGATATCAAAATAGTATAGGAAAGCGAATTCTGTCCGATAGTCGAAGACTTTGTGTATTATTCTATTATGGTTTCGTTACAAAAATATCTAAGTATTTCATTTATTCTTTGTCAATTACATTTTGAATTTTATCATACAGAGGAAGTTGGGGTAATTATGAATGGCCCATTATTACAGAACTGGCAACCTGAGCTAAAATCAACAGCGCTTCTACATTCCAGCTCCCGTTGAGTCGGCCATGCGATCGTTATAAACTTCTAATACCGAACTTTTTTCGATATAAGAGAAAAAGAGATTGTCTTTGTTAATTTAAGGTATTTACGCACTTGTGACACTGGAAAATAATTGAAAAAGCTTACGCGAGGTTGGAAAATTGACAAGAGAAGCTTCAAAGTATTGAGCTTTGCCTGCGTGTTATGCGTAAATTGTGCGGAAATTTACTTTTTGTATGTCATTCGCTTTCGGGGTAATTTTAAACAGAATTGTTCGAAATTTCACTGTTTATTTGACTATTGATGATTGTTTTTATAGATTCTCCGTTCTTATATTCGAAAGATTGTAACACAATGGAATATCAAAATTCTTCAAGCAGCAATTGGAGAAGTCGAGAGTTGTCGTATGACTTACGGCCAGGCTGCATTGGCGTACAGAATTCCAAAGGCAACTAAACAAATCACATTCCTGACAAATCCAAGCGTGATTTGAAAAATTCCACGTTTTCAAAGAAAGAAATAATAGAAAGAAAATTTATAGAAATAGCTCGTAACTTTGTTAATGTGGAAATTTTCAAGATTCCATTCACAAGGAAGAATATTTCTAAATATTTTGTAACGAAAAATATGTTTTCAACTGAAGACTGGATAATGTGCTGAAAATCGTGTAACGAGAACTATTCAGAAGGAAAGAGCACCTCATATATCTAATTTTTGCAAGTAATTCTTGGTTTGGAATTATCCCACAATTGTCAAGATAAAAGCGAACATGTGCCATTCCTTTATTTCAATTTATTGTTTTATGTAACAAGCGTAACAACGTGCATTATGTTTAAAATAAAGTGCATTCATTTGGCAATAAAACCCATTAGTAATTATTACTTCGAAATAATATCAATAGGCTGTGTACAGAATATTCGCCAAACGCTATTATCTTGCAACGAAAGATATTGGATTATTTTATATGTAAATATTATCTCTATATACAAAGTAAGTTATTCTGTAAATACAAAGCAAATAATTCTGGTTGTTATATGAATACTCGAGACTAGGTATCATATTGTAATGTATCTGACGTTTCAGTAAAGAGCGAAAACAACAGATAGCGATATGGCAGATTCGAATAAAAACAAATTCTCCCAGAGACCATTTCTCTGACTAGCTCCTTAAACAGGTATTAGAGATTGAAAAAGGAACTTTAAACGGATTCAAGCAGCTTTCTACAACTTGGATTCTCGTGTGTCCGGTAAGTTGTCTGTTAGTAAAACAAATAACTTCTTGGCTCGAGTGCCAAGATACGGACAAGATAATGAACGAATCGGAATGAATAGAGTGGAAAAACAACAATCAAAACTCCACCGGATCGGTTAAAAGCAATTCAAAGTTTTTAATTCGGATCACTCTTAAACAGAACTGAATTTCGTGAAATTGTTTTGTGTTTGTCCTTTTCGTATAAATACGGTTCTACTCTTCTATCTAAACTATTTCTTTTTTGTTGTAATACAATGTTTATATTACTTACATTTAAGTGTGGAGGTATATTGGCTTGACGCTATTCAGCACAAATAGACAATACAAGTTCAAGCACTTTGCTCGGAAGAAAAACAGTTGGAAGTTTTACTTCGAGTATTCAAATTTTCTGGTCATTTATGCAATTTATTTATTTAAAAATCATTAATTGATAATGAACTGAAAATCTTCTCAAAGAATCAAATAATGAAATGAAAACTTTAAAAACACCAACAATTTTATGGGCTAATATTGAATATTTTGAGTCATTAATTACAAATAAACAAAATTTCTTTTTGTAAATTTTTCGTCCAATGGAGATTATTATTATTTAACAAAAAATTTTTTAACAAAAAATTTAAAGACAGTCTGCCCAAAATGTTTTATCTACTGGAACAAGCGCTTGTTCCAGTAGATAAAAGCAGAAACACCCCATAGGAAGAATGGAAAGCAAGACGTCTGTATAACACCAGTTCCTTTTTTAAAAAGAATTTTTTTAATTGGATGTAATTGTGTTTTTAAAGGACTGTTTTTAAATTCTGACGGAATGTAGCCTATAAAGAAAGGTCTGTCGCCGTGAATGTGAAATCTGGAACACAAAAAATAAATGGTGGCCCATTTTGGGCAGACTGTCTTTAATTTTTTTGTTAAATAAACAAAATGTTTACCATCTTCGAAATGTCTAATAATTTCGAAAATCTTATCGAAATCAAGATAGTAAAATTCAAATTTTAGATGCTCAAATGAATTAGTACTAAACTGTTTATTAAAAGTTTTCCGCGTAGTTATTAGCCAGACAGGAAAACTTATAATTTATGCCGTTTTAATGACACATTATAACAGAAAATTATATCGGTATAGCAATTAGGAACATAGAAGAAGCAAAATCGCGACTCGATTTAATACATAAGAATAAGAAAATTCTCAAAAAGAAACCAATAAAGTTCTTTGTGTTTAAAAGTTAAACAATATTGTTATAACGTTAATATGTTTTAAACCAGTTAAACTTAAAGAATTCTTGCAAAACTTTTAAATTAAGATCTTTGTTTTATCGTCGTGCAAAATCGCTCTGATAACTATTTCGGCAGATGCATCAAATAAAATAACTGTACTATTTTTTGATGCTTTTTAATTTAAACTTTTCCTATTAGTTTTATATTTAATACAAAAAAAAATCACTTGAACCAATCATTTTCAAGAAAATCTAGTCAATTCTTATTTCGAATAAGTTCGAGAGGATAGACCTTCTCGGGTTTGAATTTTACTAATTAGTTCTATTATGAAATTCCATCAAGCTGTATTAACTGCAACTTGAAAAACCGTTTCAGAGTAAGCAAACCCAAATTTCACGAGAAACACTTCAAAATTTTAAATTTGCATAAATTAACAAAGCTTCCATACATTTATCACCTTTTACTTAAAGGGAAAAGCAATTATTATTTCATATTTTGAATACATCGAAGTTTCCGAGACGATTATTAAGCAAAAATTTATGCAATGTATACTGTGGAAAAATTTAAATTTAATACGAATGGATACGAGTTTTCCGGAAAATTTAATTTGCATATCAACAATTAAATTATATTGCATATAAAAATCGCTAAATTTGCAATATCTTTGAGTTTTGAATGCCACGAGAGGGACTAGCATATCGTAAGCCTTATAGATGATTGTAATTACTTTAATTTCATGTAGGCCAGACTTAATACAGTCGATCAATGCGAGTGAAGGAGGTGGGTTGATGCTCAGAATCGTACTGTTCCTGGACCGGTTTCGAACCCGAATCCAATGATGGTAGACAACATGTTGTGGCAGATGATTGCACTGTAAACAGATAAAATAGAAAATGCATCATTTCAGTTAATAAAATCAAACAGCAGTCGTAAACATGATCTATTCGAGTGCTTTGATATTTTTTTTAGTGTGTGTGTGTTACATTCCCATTAATTTTTATTATTGAGATAATTTCCTTTCAAAGTTCATTCGATGTAACGATCGTTTCGAAATTTTCATAGTTCAGTTCGCTATAAAGTCATTATGCAAAAATATGCCAAAATTTTCTAAAACGATTCCATTTAACGGTAGATATATTACATTGTTATGTTAATCATGAATGATTAAATATTAAAATTTCATCGATCTTACCGAGTATGAATTTCAGAAAATTCTGTAAAAATTCAAAACTCATTTCNTCGCCTATCTCTTTTTTTTTGTTTTGTTTTTTTACATTAGTGAGATACAAAGATTAAAAGAAAATTAAATTTTATATACAACAAAATATAGCAAAAATTATTGCATTTACAATTAATTAAACGACAAAACAACGAAATTTTAACAATTTCTTAGTTAATTAATCCCTACGAGATCTTTAATGGTTATAGCAAGGCTTTAACTAATTATAATCATAATTAAGAAAATTTGCATTTTAATTACGATTTTTAGACGAATTTTGTAGGTACTGATCGATTCCATTTTGTTTTTCGTTCTAAATACGGGAGAAAAATGCAAATTATTGGTGATAATTGTATTTGTTTACAGTATGGAGTTTATTAAAATTGATGTTTTCGGTCTTATATCCTGTAATATCTTTATTGAGATAGTTTACGTCACGACATAGGAACGTTGTGTGACCTTTCGGAATTTCCTATCTGACCACTTCACTAAACAGCGCCACCGTCGTGGATCAATATGGGATGCAGCGGACGACGAAATACAGGAGGAACCTGCGCTGTTTCAAGGACGGTAGAAGCATACTATTGGCGGGAAGAACACAGCCTTCTTCCTCCATCGTGCAGTAATATTTACGAATATCTTTTATCAGAATTAAACATTTATTGGATACGAGAATTTGAAAAGTAGTCGTTTATCGAGTGTACAAATTAAGATTTCTATACGGCATTCGATTATAACACGAGATTTTTTTGTTTATACACGTGTTTGGAACATGGATGGAAAACATTTTCCTCGTAGTCAATCTGCAAGTAGTAGAGTACAGTTTCTAACATCTACCGACAATAATCAGGTAAGTGAATATTGGTTTACTTCTGGTGTCCCATCAGCCATTATTGTACTTTTGATACCATCGGGTAGGTCAAGGAGTGGCAATAAATCATAGGATGATTCTATTCTATCCCTCCTCCTAGGATAACTTACTTTTACTAGGGATTTATAAGGCTAATTTTCAATTAAAACAATGTTACTCGGATAAATAACTGATAATTAATCAGAAAATTAACTGTATTTTAACTTTGATGTTATGCTTAGTGAAGGGTAAGTGATAACGTTGTAACTCGCGTATAATCAATTGCCGCATATTGTATCATTTTTTAAAAATAATTTTAAAACGTATAATGTATAATTTGCAAATACAAGTTTAAAAATTTTAGCAAAATATATATTTTTTGAAATATGCAAATTATGTCAACAAACACGGTGCAACCATTTATATAGATGGATCCTTATGGAGAACTGTGTACAAAAATTGCGCAAAGTGATGAAAAATTTAATTGGCAAATTGCCATTCGCAAAATCACGTGATTCGTCTCGTAATCCGAAGTCACGGTTTGGGGATTGATTAGCTTCGAGATAAAAATGAGGGTAGACACATGCACAATTTAATGTAGTTTTATGTAATCATCATCGTCGCTATTAAGCGCCAATTTGGAGAAATGTAATTTTAAATTATGTCGTATAATTTTATGACAAATTTACCCAAAGAGAATATAAATTCATGCATTTACATCAAAAATTATGTTAAGAAAATAAAAGAGCAATAACATTTATGTTAAATGTTTTGCTCTATTTTTATTGCTTAATTTTCATTTGAATGAATATATTTTTCTACAAATGATTCTATAAAGTTGTTTTCAATTTAAAGTTATTTTCGTGTTTACAATTTTTCGAATATTTTGCTTTAAAATAGGACAGAGTCCAAAGTTGATATTTTCTAGTAATAATATATTTCGTGTATTAAAAGTATTCAATCGAAAAAAGAAACGCAAACGTCCAATAATATGATTCATCTTCTGTTCATGACATGAAAAAGACAAAAACGTAATGAGAAATAATACATTTACAAGGAATGGAAAAAAAAAATTCCTAAGCAAGAAAGAATGGAATGTTTAATTCGGTAGAGGTTTTTAGGCGAGGCAGTCGAAGCTTTTGGCTAAGGTTTGGCGCTTTAAAAATTCCAAACACGCACAAATATACGCTTATCGATACTTGATCCGGTGAGCGAACCCATCTGTGATCCTTGATCTTGCACAGCATCCGAGTGGATAAAATGAGTGATATGCGAGTGGTTCGCACCTGACCACGTGAAGTTTTCTATGTGTATCTAATACCCAAATAGGGACTAATTAGATATAAAGGGCTGTCTCACCGGGAGGACCCACTGAAGTCCACCCGGTGAAGCACCGGGTATCCACCCTTGTCAGATCTCTCCTTGCTACATCCCAATAAACTAAACTTGGTACAGTATCAAGTATGGTCTGATGCGTAGACGTATTCGGGAAAGCGCATGGACAATACACTACGCCCATAGTGTATTCGAGTGCCAAGGTGGGTGGTCACGTTGGCACTTAAATATGCCATCTGCGTAGCGTAGGCATTACATTATATAAAGCAAGTCTGTCTAGGGCCTCATATATATATATATATATAATTTCCGCTGAACTAATTTAAGATCATTTACATAATCAGAACATAAAAGTACGAAATCATTTAATCGTGCCAAATTTTAAACTGCTCCTAACAATAACAGAAAAATAAGAATTTCGGAATGTTTCCAAGATTATTATGCAACAAAAAACAAGTTTAAATTTTAAGAATTATAAATAATAATATGGCTTACAAAAGATTCGATTGAGAATCCAATTTATAAGATTACACACTCCAAATATATTCTTGCATTAAATAATTATTGAGTAGGTTCGATTAATTTTAGTCAAATTAATAATTTATTTTATTACATATTAAAATCATTCGACTTATTCAAAAGTATTTCGCGGCTTTGGTTTCAATAATTATTCCATTGGAGAAATTAAAGTCCAAGGTTAAACTGAAATAACTTAAAGTTAATTAAAGGATTTTTAATTACTTTTCCTTTATTAGAATTATTTAATTTATGGATTAACTTCCTTCTATTTATAAAATTTTTAATAGTTTATAAAATTGGTAAATCTTAACGCTTAATTATAAAAATAAATATTTTTAATAGACATTTTTTGTTACTAATTTTATTAAGTGCCATTAAATGCATTTAATTTTTTCTCTAACTTTATATTTTTACTCTAATTATACAGCAAAATAATTTAATTATATTTAATATTTTAAAACTATAACAATTGTAACAATATTTTTCATCGCAAATCTCTTTTTTTTTGTTTTGTTTNATAATTCCGTTTTATATGAATTCCATGTTGTACGAGTCACTTAGATTTTACAAATACGTGTGCCGGGCTATGAACGGCTCACGTATTTGTAAAATCTAAGTGACTCGTACAACATGGAATTCATATAAAACAGAAAAATCAACAGTGTTGTAGGGGGTCGAATGTACATAAAAATGTTAAAATTAGCATTTTAAATCGTTATATTAGATATAGGCAACATTTTAAATTATTTTAGAAGGATTTATATTAAAATTACACTAATCTTGCCGAATGAATAATCGTTAAAACAATCAATAAGTGATGTTCGATTTAGAGCTCAGCAAATTAAAGGTTGCTTTTGTTTGAACTTCATTACTGAGAAGTTTAAGCATAATTAAATTATGTACTAATTACGTTATATTTAGTAAGGTCAATAAGAATATTTTAGTTATTTGTTAATTAAAATATACAAATTGTTTTGTAAAGTTTAAGAGTTTATATGATGTATTTTATTCCATTTTTAATTAGTTGTTTGTTTATGTGTGTGTATGTTAGGTGTCTCATTAAAATGAAAGTTTTATTTTTTATTTTATTTCAGTAAAAATAAAAAAATAAATAATGCTATGCAGAAACCAAATCCAAAAGAGATAAAATATTTAGGGGAAAAAAATCTAGTAGAATAATTGTTTCCAAGTTTTTAAAATGTTAAAGTTTAGTCTATAATTTAAAAATTCCAAGAAGGGACTTGACAACTGTAAACCAACTAATCAACAGTATAATTTTTAAAGAATTTACACGATTTGTTTATAAAGTTTTAGTCACTCTCATAAATCTCGAGTGAGTAATTTTTAATTATAATTTTCTTTTAAATAGATCCGTTTTAAAATGTATTCTACACGCGGTCTTGCTGGATGAAAAATTGAATTTTATTATTATTATTTTTGTATATAGTAAATTCTACTGAGTCTTACAAAATCATAACTTTTATTGTGTTCATTCCTTTTCACGGAAGTACGAATTTCGTTTTTTTTTATTATTTTATTTTATTTTATTGTCAGATTGTCAACGAAACTTATACACTGTATATGTATTAACACGCTATACGTTCCACCATTATTCAGAAGAAATTTATTTTTTAATCTTTTGCGTTTCAATTTATAATTTTTTTAAGACTAAAAGATATTATATAAAAGGAATTTATATATTTAAAACTTATTTTATAAACAAAACGTAAAATAAATGAGTATTTTAATTCCCTTATTTTATATTTTGATTTATTAAAAATTTTATATGTTTTCATTTTTTATTATTAGATATTATATATTTAGTAATGTATTAAATTATTAATTTTTTGATGATCTTATATAAAATTCTGAAGGTTAATTTAGCAAAAATATTTTAATTGACAAAGAATTATATCTTATTTTTTAACATTAAATTATGTATTAATGA